GTTCCAACCAAATTCTGGGGCTGGGCTTGATTCCATCAGTGGTGAGCTTTCCCATGTTCCCCTTTCTTTGCAGTCTCTACCTACCCTGGGAAGGCTGATGTGGGTCAGGGGGGCTGCACTGAGGAGAAGGAAGGGGGCATCATCTCCCCCCTCTCTTTTTTACAAGCATCAGCTCTTCTGAAGCAAGAGGGTGATATTGTTTCCTACCCCATACTCAATGCAGCACCCTAACCTGTGTGCACCTATTAGGCCACATGGGTCTTGCAACCCTAGGAATACTTTTTTTGGGGACTACTACTGGGTGGGGAATGTGGAAAAGAGCAATATCTGTCAGTGCTTTCCACTTAAGATTTCAGGATCCAATCCACTGTGAATAATGAACATTCTCTAATATTGCTGCCTGTGCAGTGTATGTGCTATAGAACCCTCATACCTATTCCATCTCTACCAGTACCTTGAAGTGAGAGAGAAAAAGGAGAAGGCACCATTTCGAAGAAGAAGAAGAGACTGGATTTATACCCCATCCCTAACTACCTAAAGGAGTCTCAAGAGTGGCTTACAATCTTCTTTCCCTTCCTCTCCCCTCCCCACAACAGACACCCTGTGAGATAGGTGGGGCTGAGAGACCTCTTTTGAAAAATGCTCCTGAGAGAACAGCTCTGAAGGAACCTGTAATTGACCCGAGGTCACGAGCAGCTGCATGTGGAGGAGTGGGGAATCAAACCTGCACTCCTAACCACTACACCAAACTGGTTCTCAAAGTAGGTTAGCCTCATATCCTGTGGTTCAGCATTTTAAATATATAACTTCTGCATAAGTTGTGTCAAAAACACTGATGAACATAGTGGCTTAATATATGCCAATACTGATTCGATCCTGCTTTATTCTTGAATGAGTTTCATCCATTAAAAAAAAGAAGTGGGTTGTTCTAGGTATCCCTAAAAAGAAGTGGGATAGTACGCTACCCCACCCCACCCCACCCCATCTCACTTGAATCCATGCTGGATACTGTCCCCGGGAATTTGACAGAGGGTTTGGAGGCTATGGTGAGATGGTTAAAGCAGAGTTGACTGAAACTGAATCCAGGTAAGATGGAGGTTCTGTGGCTGAGGGGGGGGGAGCCTCAGCTGGGTTGTCAACTCTTGAGGATGTGCCTCTGTCACCCGCACAGACCGTCAAGAGCCTTGGTGTGACGTTGGATCAATCCTTGTCTATGGAGACCCAGGTTGCGAAAGTTGCCAAGCTGGTGTTTTTCCACCTGGCCAGGTTAGGCAACTGGCTCTCTACCTCTCTCACTCTGACCTAGCCAGAGTAATCCATGCAACGGTCACCTCCAGGATAGACTACTGTAATTCACTGTACATAGGCCTACCTTTGCACCCGGCCCAGAAGCTCCAGCTGGTCCAGAATGCAGCTGTGTGGTTCCTTACCGGGACTCCTTGGACAGCACACATCCAACCTGTGCTGCGTGAGCTACACTGACTTCCAGTGGGGTACCAGATCAGGTTCAAGGTTTTGGTCATGACCTTCAAGGCCCTTAGCGGTCAGGGACCTACATACCTTCGGGACTGCCTCTCTCAGTATGCCCCTGGAAGAGCGTTACACTCAGGGAATAAGAACCTCCTGGTGGGTCCCCGGCCCAAGAGAGATCCGGCTGTCCTCAACTAGGGCCAGGGCTTTTTTGGCCCTGGCCCCCACCTGGTGGAACTCTCTGACAGAAAACATCTGTGCCCTGCAGGAATTATTAGGCAGAGATGTAAGGCAGAGATGTTCCGCCAGGCATTTGGTTGAAGACAGCAACAGGACAGAATGACATCTGGCTCTCTCATATACTCTCCCTATCCCTCACAACCCCTCCCCCCCAGGAGGCTGGGGAACTAATTTTTTCTCCACCATTTTGAACTGTATACTGTTTTATTTATTGATTTGTTTTTGGGTAGTTTTAATCTTGGTTTTAATTTATGCAATTCTGTTGTAAGCCGCCCTGAGTCTTGTAGGGAAGGGTGGCCTAGGAAATTTAAATAAATAAATAAATGTTCCCTGTATGCTATATTTTTATCTTATCCTTGTTTACTGAAACTTAGGGCTTCATACATAGCTGTTCCTTCTTCCACTATAGCCTCACAACAGTTCTGTGAGGTAGGTTACCATGTTCATGAGCAGGAAGAACAGCGTTATGCCAAACTATCCAGGATATACTTTATGGGCACATATGAACAGATGAGGAATAAAAGGTTCATACTGTCATCTCTCATGGAATTAAGGCCATGAAAGTCAATGGGCTCAGAATTGTAACTCTGTTTAGGATTGCACTGTTACTCTATTGCACACTGCAACTCCATCTCTAGCTTTTTGAATCTGCTGCAGGACTCCTTTGATCTTCTGATTTGATTCAGTATTTGCTAAGGATAAAGTGTTCCCATTTGAAACAAAACATAAGGAACTAAATGAATCAGCAGCTAGGGTTGTTCCATCCCTGTGATGTCTGAGATTAATTGGGCTTTTAACTTGTTATCCAGGCCATGAAATATTGAGAAGGAAGTAAACAAGAGTATATTGGCTAAGTTTACTCCCCTCCCCACCCCATCTCTCTGTGTGTATCACATCAGTGCCAGGTGACACTATGAATCAGTACTTGGCATAATTGCTCTAATCTGGCAGTTTCAGATGCAAATGCAAACAAACAGGATAAAGAAAGTAACATAAAACAGTTGCTATAGCACCAGTGTTTAATCACCAGGCATAACATGGCAAACTAAATCATCTGTTTAAAGTTTAATTTATCTGGTATAGGCTACCTGTGGGATTACTGTGAAACCCAGAATAAACTTCCTGTAAGTCTTTCTTCTTTGTTGTATGGTTTCTGAGTAGAATATTTTTATTCCTCCTTTGTTTACTATGGTTCAACAACTTCCATGTTGCATGTCAGTCTGCTTTAAAGTTTAGAATTAACACAGAGTAAGAAAACAGAGGGAAATGGTGGCTGTCTTAATAGCACTTACTATATTATTTAGAATACAGTGGTAAAATTTGGCTTGGGTTGCTCAGTATCTAAAAG